CGAATCTCTCAATAAGTGGTGCCTCGATAGACATGGTTAAATTTTTCAAAGTTCAACATATTTCAGAGATCCCAGTCTTTCTACGAGAGACTCGAGTCTCTCAATTTTTCAGTTTTATTCATTCAGTCTTTCTGTGAGAGACTCGAATCTCTAAAGTAACAATTTTATCGTTCGAGTCTCTCATACAGAGACTGTTGGAGATCCATAAAAACACCTAGGCAATAACTAAGAGACTGTGAAAGACTGTGAGAGATGCTCTCAGATACGCTGAAAGACTCTGAGAGACTGGGGAGAGACTAAATATTTTTGTCTAAGGCAGTTTAACAATATAAAGAGAAACTTCTGATATTCTGATGGTGCTTATGGCAAACATTTTGTGTTAAGTTATCGTTTAAGATTTTTTTTTTTGGAATCTATAGCTGCTTAAATATTTCTACAAATTGTGGATATCTGTTTGAATTTTAATCATACTATGTAGCAGAATAGATATATAAAAATACATTAAGAATAGACTAAAGTATATGACAACTGAACTTATAGGCGTAAGGTATGACTGCAATTCATCAAAGTTGGTTTAAGTTGTATCAAGAAATGCCGATTATCATTATTATTACCTGAAATCATTTACAGGAAACATACCATTGGATTCAGAGCATTCTGTATTCTTGAAGATACGGCCATTTTAGAGTATCAAGTGGCAATAAATTTTAATGTTTGTGAAATATCTATGTGTGAGTATACATATGTAAGTTTATTTGTGAATGTTTGTACGTATGTAGTTGCATAGATTGTGTTGGTGTTCTTTTAGTGTTTCAAGTAAGTATAAATAAATACACAATCCGCTACCGTGCACACATTTATAAGTTTGAGGTCATTATACCCATTTATTCTGTTAAATAACCATTACAACTACTACTTAAATAACGTTGGACAAAATAAAAATAAAAGAAAACTATCTANTTTACAAGTTTACAAGTTTACAAGTTTACAAGTTTACAAGTTTACAAGTTTACAAGTTTACAAGTTTACAAGTTTACAAGTTTACAAGTTTACAAGTTTACAAGTTTACAAGTTTACAAGTTTACAAGTTTACAAGTTTACAAGTTTACAAGTTTACAAGTTTACAAGTTTACAAGTTTACAAGTTTACAAGTTTACAAGTTTACAAGTTTACAAGTTTACAAGTTTACAAGTTTACAAGTTTACAAGTTTACAAGTTTACAAGTTTACAAGTTTACAAGTTTACAAGTTTACAAGTTTACAAGTTTACAAGTTTACAAGTTTACAAGTTTACAAGTTTACAAGTTTACAAGTTTACAAGTTTACAAGTTTACAAGTTTACAAGTTTACAAGTTTACAAGTTTACAAGTTTACAAGTTTACAAGTTTACAAGTTTACAAGTTTACAAGTTTACAAGTTTACAAGTTTACAAGTTTACAAGTTTACAAGTTTACAAGTTTACAAGTTTACAAGTTTACAAGTTTACAAGTTTACAAGTTTACAAGTTTACAAGTTTACAAGTTTACAAGTTTACAAGTTTACAATTATAAATGTAAAAACGTACTTCGTGAATTAGTTTATCGTCATAAGGTCGTCAGTCCTAAGATTGGTTGGACACGCACCTCCACTCCTTCCTATCCTGAGCTAATCTTCCCAGGAGTACTATAGGAATAAAAAAAAACACGCTTTTAGACTCCACTTTGAATACGTAGAAATGTGTTTTTAATTTTCAAAAAATTGCGGAAATAAAACTATGAATGGAACTGCTATATTTACAGATAAACTCTCACTTTGATAGATACAGTAAAGAAATTTAAAAAAAAGGGTAGTGGAAATGTTTTATATAGACTTTAATCCAGCATTGATTTCTTTCTCTAAGAGTAAATATTTCCATGTTTTTGAAGTAAAAACCGTCATGTGTTTTTTATTAGGTACTTTTTGGTATGTAATTTTCCCTGTCTGTTAATTCTTTACACAATTTTTTGCAATTTTTTTGTTTCGCGCACTTTATACTTCCAAATAATCTTGTCCTTGTGTGAAAAACATCAGGTAAAGTGGATTTACATGGTGTTTATTGTGATGAAATAACATATAATAAGAAATTACAAAGAAATTAAAAAGAAGTGTAACGGAACAAGGATTAAATTTAGTGAATGTAGAAAAGTAGGGGATGGTGAGTAAGAGGAAGAATAAAACAAATTACTTTTAATACACAGGAAGGATAATATTTCAATATTTATACAATATACCTCCTCAGAACTAACAGATAAATAATTCGATAAAGGACACGCTAAATATTTCGCAAGAAAAGCGAATGCATGCCAAGATACAATGTGGAGTACCGCGTAATTAAAATTGGGAAAAGGGAGTTTCTTTTTGAAATGCTAGTGTAAGAAATCAGACGGTGCTCTATGAAGCCGGAAATCTAGAGATAGAAGAAGTAAGTGGCAACAGAAAATGCACAGGATAAATCTAAACCAAAATAAATCCAACTACTCATGAAAGACATCAAATTTTGAAATAATACCTATAGTAATAAAAAATAAATTAGAAATTAAAAGTTGCTAAAAGAATGAAAAATAGGAAGGATTTCCTAAAGGACAACGAATGATCTTTGTACTACAAACATAAAAAAGAAACAGGAAAGAACATATAGATAGATGACATTAGAAGAAATTACAAGAACATCAAAGACAGAGTTGGAAAATACAGTTATTGAATTCTGTATGCGACAAATATATGTAATACAAAAAATCTTGCCAGAATACATAAAATATGTCATTAAAATATTCTGGTTCATACGTATCCAAGACAAATCCTCAACGAATTAGATTCCTGTACTAGTATTATACTTTTGATTGGCGAAATATGTGGAACGAACACTCTTTCGCTCGTTCGGTGTGAACACACCTTTACATGTAACTTTTCAGAATACTGTAGCTTACAACGTTATAATTAATATTTACTTCAAGCTTATTTAATTTTACTTGCTGTTTTCATGTCACATGTAAAACACAAAACATAATAAGAATACTTTTACATTTTTTATACGTAAAATGTAAATGATAAAAGTTCTAAATTACTGAAAAACGATATTTAATGGAAGGAAATGAGCAAATAAGAAGGTAGATTAACAAATTGTTACGCAGATATAACTAAACAGTGCGTTTTATAGACTTTCGGTAAAATAAACTATATAATTGTAAAAGCTAGAAGTAATCAAGAAATAGCAGTTTCTGCAAGATTTTAATGGCCCAGTGAAATGAGCCTTTCCTCGATTTCCTTTTGTTTCATCTGTTAACGCAAACAATCCTCTTCGTCCCCTTCCTCCCCTTGAGGGTATGGAAACTAATCGTTTCACTATTGTGTCGTAAACAATGACAAACCAGATCCCAGAAGAATTTTGGCTTGGAATAATCCCGAAATATCGCAGCGCCTTTATTTGCCTCCTTTGAAAGTTTATGTGGCGCCTAGATTCGGCAATAATTCTTTCGACATAAAAATAAAGTGACTTATCTGAAGAGTTGTAAAGGATCAAAACATCCCCTTCGAAACAGGGTCAGCAGTTTTGACGTCGCCGTTTTCGCGCAACACAGGCCGCTTTTCCGTCCTCGTTCCACTCGCAAAGGACGAAGGGAAAGCGTCGGAAAGAAAAACACAGGAAATCGATAATCGGACGCCTGTGACGTGGCGCCGTTTTCCAGAAGCAGCAGCAAACGAAAACAACCGAACCGAACCGAAATCGCAGGTGGCATACTGATTGACATTTTTTAAGTGCGGTGTTTTATGTGAATATTTAAGAGAACATGCCAGCACCTTGAACTAACTGTTCGGATTAATGAACCTGTGTAATTAGAGCTTTACAATTACGTTTACTGTGCTAATTTCAACTGTCCCGTCCAACTTTCTCCTTGTTTCCAATAGTGTTTGATGTTCGTTATCATACGATTCGGTGACAACCATTAACAATTAAACAAATCTTCTGCATTTACTGTTGCAATAAAAAAGGATTTGATTGACATTCTAAAGTGCCGTGCGGATCCATCGAACAAGAATTCTCTATAGCGCGAATGCGAACCGACATTTCGAAACAATTTTATTAAGTGCATCGTTGCGGTAAGGTGGTTCCGAACTATCAATAATGATAGTTTTCACTAATTCTCCCGCTGGTGGAAAACTAGTAGAAGGACAATACGCGTAAATGCTACCAAATATATCTGTGTCACTGTTATGCAACGAGGGTGACAGGGATTTACCCATAATGGCCTAGATAAGGAGATGACATCACGGCAATTCCCTATAAACGCGGTTAGTAAGGGGTCACAATCCCCACATCTTAGTGTGCAGGTGAGATAACAGCGAATGCCTGCTTAATCGCACCATACGATTTATTGCACCATTATTAGCTCAATAAAAAGAGTTCCTTGCAAAAAGGATTTCAGGAATTTTTTAATTAGAGCAAAAATGTAGGTTACTGTTTGTAATTAGATAATTGATGTGGTGTTATTAGGATAGGAGATTGATCCAAACCGGAATGCTGTGCTATATCAAAGTGCTCTTCAAAACCCATTATTCATATCTTTTGTCAACAGCGTCAGCTGATTAATTTCCCAACAGCTGATGTAAATGTAAGATGGCGCCCAACACACTTGCATATATTATACTGATATATCGGTCATGAAGAATAAAAATGTAAACATATATACAGTCTTTAAGTTCAATTCACAAANCATAATTTTTTGTTCCTGCTAAATTGTTATTAACCAATTAGACGTTCAAGATACGGTTAGGTCTGAAAGGAGGTCTCGAACTCGGACTGATTTTCCATGTTTTGGTACTTGAATAACGTTTATTTCATTCGCCTAAATAAAATTTAAATAAAGGCGACTGATAAACGAATCACAGGGCACAGGTCCATGCACTTCCGTTATTTTCTGTTACTATCGTTTTATAATAACGTTGTGTATGGATAATTATAGGCGGTGGTGGTATTTAACAAGGTCCTTTTACAGTTAAGGATATCCACTTACCAAACTGAACGCAGGACGTAGCAATGTATGTGATGGGAAATTTTACTGATCTGTCTCTATTAGTTAAAATTGACTACAAATTTACGATCTATTTTTGTGAGCATATTCAGTAACTTCCTTGGTTTTTGGTATAATTTGCTATAAATTATGTACCCATATAGGCAAATATCAGTAGACGATGGCGACGTATTGCTAATTCGATATTGTAATGTAAATTTTCTGATTTGGAGCATCTTCGGTTTGGCAGAAGATTTATCGAGGTTACTTATTGCGTGCTGATGAGGTCATATAGCATCGAAATCGCAATTAAAGTTTAGTATGTAGATTCAATAAAACCAGAAAGCTTGAAAACTAAAGCGCAGCACATTTTTTTTTTATGTTTAAAAGATACTCTTCTACAGGTAAATTAAATAGTAGACTATCATATCTACAATAACTGTTATGACCATTATGAAGTAAAAGTAAACCACAAATTTACTAGATAAACCTTATGTACATCCTTACATGTCCGTTAAATAGAACAGGGGGATCTTGGAGAATAAGAAATATAATATTTTTTAATTTCAGTCGTNTGAAGTTACATGCCCTTAACGAATGCAAATCAACAACAACCGTTTTGACCTAATTCACAGATAGATACGTTTATTACCTGTAATGAAGTTAATTAATTGAATGGCCAATTTTACAATTAACTAAGCTCTTAAACTGAATATTGCTAAATTAATCGTATGAGGTACTGAATCTGCCCGCGGTCTGTTTTGTGGGCTCAAAGAAAAATTAAAGATCTTTTCGTACTAGTTGAAACATACGTTTTAAAAATAAATTTCTTCTGATAAGAAGGCAGTTTCATTATTTATTTAAACAATTTTGTAAGTATAACCCCATTCAATATTGTAATTTGAAAATTAATTCTTCCCATATCAAAAAACTAAAGTAATTTAACAAAACGAATAGAAACTAAAAAGATATGAAATAGGTATTAATAAATGTTTCATTTCAATGAGACAATTTGAGGAAGATTAAAAATGAAAACTGTAAAAGGTAAGTAACTTAAATAAACACACCCTTAATTACCACAATATTTTCTTGAAGAATGGTCACTCTTGCTTGCATATATAGACAAGGATGTCGTTAGCCAATTGATCGCGGGAAGGTGGGAAGGGGGGAGGAACCCTTTACTACAATGAAAAATATTTTCTTGAGTTTTTGTTTTATCAACTACTTTTTTATTTAAATTTTCCACGTTCTCGATTAATACTCATCGCAATACTTTCTGCCAGGCCAAGGTTTTATATTTGTTTCAGGCTGCTAAAGGATAGCTCTACAGTACAAATTAGGCTTATCTTGTTACAACTGTTTCCACATTTCGATTTTATCGTTTATATTTGGTAAATCGTAAACTTGAACGAAGATGTTATAATAATTCAATGGAATTTTGCAGATGCGTCTCGTACTGTCGATTTTCCATCCACTACAAACTTCCTCAGGTTAACGAGGAAAAATATTTTTGTTGCTGCTGAGGAAGTTTGTAGTGGATAAAAAATCGAAAATGAATTTTCACATTAATAAAAACATTATTTTATTAATATGTAGAGCATAGAAAGTTAATTTCAGTTTAATGTTTAATAACAATCATAATTTAAAACATTTTCAGTCTATGATAAGCCGCTTATCCTTTTTTATCTTATATAAAGCATCAAAATTTTACAATATAAAAAAGACCATATCTATGCTTGGTGTCACTTCAGAATTTCTGTATGTGACCAAACAAGTCCAAATAGAAACGTATACTTTTGTTTTAATTTGATACTACATACCCCTGAAAATTGGAAAAATAGTATTCATTACTGTACAAGACAAATATCAATTCTTATTTTATGTATAAAATAATTCAGTAACAAACAACTTTCGTTTCTATACTGTTTCTGATATACCTACCTTTAATTGCGATAACCGAACTATTGTAAATTGTAAAACATACTGAGCGAAATAATTCACTTTTTATAGTATTGATTAGTATAATATACAACAATTTTGACAGTATGAATTTAAACATGGTACACTGATAAGGCTTGCTTTAACAGTTGACTAACGTTTGTATGTTAGAGAGATAAGCAAAACTTTTTCAGTGATTTAGAAGCCAACAACTTTGCTATTTATGTAAATGTACTTTGATAAAAAAAATTAGACGCATTATTGCGATTTCGGACAATAACTTCATGTATTAATCAATTAAGCACTTCCTCTTTATAAATTTGGAAACGAAATGTTCTGTAGGCACTGATAAATCAAATAATCAACTAAACTTTACTTCGATGTGGGCGTATATTCACAAAAAATAAATCAATAGGCATTTTATTATACTATGCATACCACAAAAAAACTTACAACTTCTAAACTTTTATTAGGAATGTGTAACCTACGAACTAGAGGGGTTCTAACGGGAAATTGCTAAAAAACGAAAAGCAAGTTGGAAAACAGTAAATACAATGAAGACGTATGAATATTAATAGATTTAAAAACCTCTTTAATTTCTGATATTCGGAAAATTAATTTCGTTTGGAAACGTACAGAATTATTGACGGTAAAATTCAGTAACCTTGCCTCCAGTATTCTGGAAGTAATAGCAGAATACTTCCTTATTTTAAAACTGCAACAGTTGAAAGAAGTGTCTCTTAAGCTTAAACTGATTAAAAATCATCTTGGAATATCAATGGGACAATAACAACTATCCGTCTTTATCAGTACGCTCCGTAGATACACAAATTCTTCAAAAACTAATGTACTTACTTTTGTAATTGATGTAAATGTACTTTTAAACATAATTATACAAAAAAGCATTGCCCTGTTTTTGGGTATTACTATACAATTCAATGAAAACAGCTCTATAAGATTTTGAAACTGTACCCTTTTGGCATGTTATTAGATCTTATATATTCTGTTAGAGCCTCATAATTAATAAAGGTGATTTTAATAGGTGCAAAGATGTGTATTAACAATTTAATCTAACGCTTTCAGTAGTACTTGGGGAATATTGCACATTTCCCGCTTTTTTCTCTTGATGAGAAAAAGTTATTCGAATGGTAACAGAACGTACTGCTGAAAATCATGATATGTACTACCTTAACCCAAAAGATTTTACATATTGTGCATAAATTAGGTAGGCAAACTTACAATTTACATATGTATACTAGTTCTGGTTCACTAACTCACTGAGAATCATCAGCGCCTAGGCTAAACCACTAGACCCAGATAGGTAAAATGTTGCACAGAGGTCTCCTTTTGATGTATGTAAGGAATAAGGACAGATATTTCGAAGTAAAATCCCGAAAGGGTTGAAAATGGGTAGTAAACTTTGTATAGAAAATTTTTGGTTGCGGTCAAATTTACTTGAAAATTGGTTTTAATACTCTTTGATATAATTAATCAATTGAAAATAAGTTATTTAAGTATCAGATAATTAATAAGTGTATATTTTGGGCTCCGTGAAAATAAGTTTAACGAACGTGAAATACCATATGTGCTTAAGTATTTATTGTAAAGAGCAATTAAGAAATTCCTTACATGCCTGTTCCCTTGCGGTAATTAATGCTGGCTTAACTCTAATTCCTTTGTTTTGTGGTTACCTGTGCGCAAGAAGAACGATTTCACAGGTTTCTGATTTTATCAGTTTCAGTTTTAACGTATCCACGTATATGTTTCTAAAAGGGGATCGTTCTTTTCGATAGATTAATAATGAATTGACGTTTTTGCTGGAGAACCGACAAGTGTGTCAGGTAAAGGTACCTGCCTGTATCGTAGCATGTCGTTTTACTGTTGAAAATTCCAAGAAATGCGTTTAACATCTTAGCAGGTCATGAATAAAAAAATATTTCGTTTCATTCTTTCGATTATTATTATTATTATTTTAGTGGCAACTGAAACATTTTTATAGGGAATGAGCGTTTGCGAACAATCGAAGTGGCATCGGCAGAAGGGTCGCAGCTCGGGGGTGGGTTTTAGCTTACGCAACCAAGCAGGTGCACGAAGATCACGGAACTTTACCTGTAGTTAGACGATGCATATAATACAATAGTTCAGTGGCGTTTCATCGAAACTTTTTAAATAAATAATCATAAATATTTATAACTAATTAGCATTAATTATAAATAAATAAATTATCCGTTTTTTAGAACCAAATCGGACATATAAACTGATCGACAATATATGTGTAGGTAGATACGTGAACTTTGCTTGGTGTTTCTTGAAGTTACATGCCCTTAACGAATGCAAATCAACAACAACCGTTTTGACCTAATTCACAGATAGATACGTTTA